CTGCTACCTTGTTGAGATGACAAAACAAGGCTGAACCACAGCAGAACCCAATTGATGGCACTAATGCTGGGTTTTATTTCAGCCCACCAGTGGTAGCTGCTGGGGGATTGGCTTTGAAAAGAGTCAGCTGGGTTGTAGCCTCCAGCCCCTTTCTCTGCCTGAGTCACCCGGAGCGGTTCTTGTCTGGATATGTATTTCTGGTAAGATGGATCCAGTGTTGGAACCCGACCTGGGGGATACGGATGATCAGATCTCGAGCTGAAGGAAGCTGTATGTCTTGTGGGGTGCAGAGAGGCTAGCTGGACAGGAAGCCGTGGGGTGACAGCAGCCCTGGGTACTTTATACGTAGAGAAATGAGCTGCGGTCTGGGAACAGCCCTGAGTGGCAGCCACGGGCTCACATTCCACTCCCATAGCTACTAAGGAAGACTTTCCAAGTCGTCCGAGAGGTGGTGGATCAGCGACGTAGCCGAGTCTGGTGTGCCGGAAGAGTGGCTGCTGTCTAGGTGACATTTTATATATAAGCACTAGATGATTTAAGATCCCAGAGAAGAGGGAGGGGCTTTCTCAAAGGTCTAGACATGAATTTTATCCTACTATGCTGTGGTTTTATTTCTTAAAGTTAAAAGTATTTTATGTGTTTGGGTGTTTTGCCTGCCTGTATCTCAGCACTGCTTGTGTGCTATCCCTGCAGAGGCCGGAAGAGGGCGCTGTTACCCTGCATCTGAATTTACAGGGGGTTGTGAGCTGCCACGATGGTGCTCAGAATCAAACTCTGATCTTTTGCAAGAAAAGCCATTGCCTTTAACACCAAGTGATCCCTCCATCCCTGACCCCCATGTTGTATTTTCAAGTAACACTGGATAAGCTGCTGACGGTTTTGTGGGGCCAGAAGTATGGGAACGAGTCCGCACTAGGCGAGGGAGGGACAGAAGATTGCTCTTTGTGTCTGTGCTGACTCTACTGATGCTGGTTCATCCTTTAAGGGGAACTGACACCATAACTGCCTGAAACAGAAGTCTGAGCATGTATGGGAGGAATACCACTTCAGGTCACGATGGCAGGGCAAGCCTTCCGGGTCCTCAGAGAGGAGGGGTCTAGATTCTGGCTCCAGGTCTTGCTAAGATTTCTGTAGGCGCCCATACTGGAACGTCCTACCGAAACCATGCTTGTGAACAGGCCTTGTTAGAGAAAACCTCCAGTAACTGCCCTCGCGGGCCCCTCAGAATTGACTCAGAATTACCAGGCGGAGAAGGTCAAACAAAACTGGGAGTCTTTAAAAACCAGTTTCTGAAACTGAGTTTTCTACCCAGGAAGGTTTGGGCGAATGAACTGTTCTGCCTCATTGGGGATCCATCAGTTTCCAGAGCCCTCAACCTCCATCTTAAGCCGTAGGGAGGCAGACTGCAGAGACACTCCTGGCTCTAACAACGGACTCACAATAGGACCAAAGAAGACAGAGTAGGGATGTGGGATGCCTCTCCGTATGCTGTGAATATGTTTTATGACTGTTGGTTAATAAAGAAGCTGATTTGGCCAATAGACAGGCAGAAAAGAGCCAGGAGGGAACTCCAAACAGAGATGGAGAAAAGGGGCGGAGTCAGAGAGATGCCAGCAGCTGGTGAAGGAGTAAGATGCCAGGGCATCACTGGTAAATCACGGGAACACGTGGTGATATACAGGTGCTTAGAAATGGGTTAATTTATGTGTAGAGCTAGCCAGTAAGAAACCTGAGCCATCAGCCAAACATTTATAATTAATATTAAGCCTCAGCGTGGTTACTCATGAGCGGGTGGGCAGGAGAGCAACCTCCAGCTACAGGGTCACCGTCTCCATGGCAGGTAGAGACTTTGGTTTATAGGCAACGTCCACCTTATTGGAAGGCCAGCTGCTCTTTGGCACATGGCCTTATGGTAGATCATGGAAGTGATGTCTGCAGGAGTCATGGGTCTAAGGGAAGGTTGTTAGGACTTATGACTTTTATGGCATAAGTTAGGACTTATGACTTTTGATTTACTTGTTTCTAAGACAGTGTCTTCCTGTGCAGCCCTGGCTGGCTTCAATCCTACTATGAAGATAAGGCTAGCCTTGAACTTTGGGCAGTCTTTCTGCCTCTATCTCGGGAGTTATTGGGATTGTTGTGTATCAGTACCCCTGGCTTGTGTGCCCTTTCTTAAGTCTTGGGTGGGCACACTTGTGTTGGAAGAGTAATACTTGACACCCTTTCATTAAAATCAAAAGAATCCAGGCTGGAGAGGTGGCTCAGTGGTTAAGAGCACTGACTGCTCTTCCAAAGGACCCAGGTTCAATTCCCAGCACCCATATGGCAGCTCACAACTGTAATTCCAAGATCTGACACCCTCACACAGACATGCATGCAGGCAAAACACCACTGCACATAAAATAAAAATAAATTATTAAAAAGAATCCCAAATGTGGAGGTCAAAGGGGGCCACACTGCTCACTGATGTGATCTGCACACAGCAGCTTCCTCATCTCCTGGGACTCTGTGTATCACACTGCTAACACCTGACATCCCATAGCTCTACTGGCTGAAGATCTCATCATCCAATCTAAGATGCTATTCTATGAAGAGGAAGGAGTAGGGGAGAGAGAAAGGGAGGGAAGGGGAGGAGAGACAGAGAATGAGAATATGAATTCAAAGAGTCATTGTGAGAAAGTCTGAGGTTAAAAGTGAGGAGCTGGAGAGATGGCTCAGTGGTTTAGGAGCATGTACCCCTGCACAGGACCCTTGTGGTTCCCAGCACCCATGTCAGGCCACTCACAACTGCCTGTAACTCCAGCTCCCAAGGGATGCCATCTGCTAGCCCCCATCGGGTATTGCATGCATGGGTACAAATCCTACACACATTCATGCTTAATTTAAAAAACATTTAAATGTAGTCACAGCTGCCAAGTGCCCCATGGAGGATAAGGGCAAAATGGCTTCTGCAAGGGCCATCTAATAGGTTCAAATGATCACACACACCAGTGTGGGTAATATACCAACATCCCCCACCCCATCTAAGTGCCTAACTGATCTTGAGTTCCAAACAGTCCCCATTAACACTTCCCTCTACACAACTGGGCACCAGTGTTTTATGGCCACAGGCCACAGAGACAGGACAGGACGTCCCCCCACCCCAATGGATCCAAACATACTTTCTAGTGAATTATAACTCAAGGGGAAGTCCATTCATGAAGTGTTTCATAGCCGCTGGGGGTCCGTCACCACTCTGAGGTCTGCTGGTATTTGCAGTGTTAGACAGCGTGCCCAGCTCATTACTCCATACACCTTCACCGTGGCCCACAGCACTTGACCATGAATACGGTTTCCTCGATAAAGAAAAGCAAGCAACCTTTTTTTATTCACTTGGGTCCTTGAGCTTATAAAATTTCGTGTTACTATTTTATATCATTGTACATATGGTTCTACCCTCTTTTCCTCTATTCTCCCCGAGGAAGATGAAGTTTTTCCATGAAGCATGGTCAATCATTTAAAACAGCAGCTTCTCGCATGATACCAAGAAACCCACTGGCATCTCTATCATACGCTAAAGACACGAAGCAGTTGGAAGGTCCCTCCCAACTGGACAGGTATTGCCAGTAACCCTGACAACAAACGAACCATAACATGAGGAAAACACCCCGGTGGAAGGCTGAGTGTGCCAACTGGTGACCTCAGGTAAGGCGAGGCACCCAGAAAGGCTGGGCTTTGTGTTAGCTGCAGGCCAGGGAGCACATTGCTTTATGATCAAACAGGAGTGGCCGGAAGGTTCTCTCGAGCCACAGGCACCCTTTTTGATATCTCTCTCTCTCTCTCTCTCTCTCTCTCTCTCTCTCTCTCTCTCTCTCTCTCCCCTCTCTCTCTCTCTCTCTCTCC